ATAATTACGTTCTAGAGAAGGTACAATTTTTTTTGAGCGAGGTACTAATTAGTACATTTTAGGTACATTTTTTTAGTAAGTGGTATAATTTGATTCGCGAGGGTACACCCGCCATTTTGACTCTCACGTCTTCTAGCGGCATAAGCAACATTGGATAGAGGTAAATTGGGTCAAATCTTTTCGAGCAAAGAATCTGTGGTAGTCAATTGTACTTCTTTTGTGGACACCCTGTATATATTTCTAAATGTCTGTTATGTACTAAATTATATATCAGATAAGAAATTCAAAGAACAGTGTGAAATCAACCCGCAGCGGTGTTGACTATGGCCTAGTCACTAGTTTGTCTAAATAAGATAGATTAGTTTGATAAATGACGTATGAAGTATCGAATTCAATTTGTATGAAGTCAAATGCCGTACTTAGACAGGTATCGTAGTGACGAATCACGCAGCGGACAATTAGCAACTATCGATATTCGGTTTAAATTATCGAACTCAACTAAAATTATTATTTTCTTAACTAATTTAGAGGATAATTCTAGTATTGATTATAATGTAGAGAATTTAACAATGACAATAATAGCGAAATCCAATTCGATTACGTACGGCTGTAGTAATAAACATTTATTTACTCTCATTATTTGTAATGGTTCTATAGGTCATTATTAATTTGAGAAAAGTGTTTTTTTTTTTTATAGTTATAACTATGAATCTATCGATTCCAACTTCTATAATAAAATTCAAAAATCTAAAAGATTCATGATTTATTTTTCACAACCCATTGTTACTAAATTGTCAAACTCATCTATACTATTATAATAAAGCATAAACACACACTTCCTTGTTGCCTAAGATGTCAGCAATTACACCATATTTTCGAATAACTCTTTTTTTAATAAAAAGCCCAACATTTACGTCATGCTTTAGGCTATATATTTTCACGCCGTTAAACTTAGGGGTAAATATTTTGGATAAAAACCCTAATGTGGGAAAGAGACCGTAAGTTGCTGCCAACATCAAGGAACCAAGATTGCAAGGTAATTGGTATTTTGACATTTGCGATTGATAATTTGACAAATGCAAACAATAAATTTACAATTTCATGCACACAAACAGCTAGTCTATCTTATTTAGACAAACTATAACTTAGGGTAGGCTCCGAGCCCCTCGGAGCGGACATATGGTGATAATGTAAATTATTCGACAGCTCGTTTACTGTACGTACGTTTCGTATTCAATGTAGTTTCCCATGTTTTAGCAACGGTACAATATATCTGCATCACAGCTCGAGCATCTTCCACTGAACTGTGTTCTCCGTGTTGAATATCTGTACCAAGTATCTCTTTTGCTAAAAACTTTAATGACGGTGTCCCACCTTTTTTCATCTGAAATATAAAAACATGGAAATAAAAGCTGTGAAACATTATTAATGTTTTTTTATTATCTAAAGCAGTGATTCCCAAAGTGGTCTATATCGAACCCTAGGGGTCCATGACGACCTGCAAGGGGTCTACGTTAGTGAAAAAAAATTTGGAGGTCCATGACATGAAAATGGTGGTCCATGATAGTGGATTTCACATACACTGATAGCACCTATTTACTAACATCATACTATCTTATAATATCAAACAATAAATAATATAATAATTAATTTTTTATATATTATGGCGACAGGTCACAGGAGTAAGCAACCCTCAAATTCCACTTAAACTAAAGGGGAAAATTTACAAGGTCGTAAGACCTGTCATGATGTATGGATCTGAATGTTGGGCAGTAAAAGGAACGGATGAAAGGAGACTACATGTGACAGAAATGCGAATGTTAAGATGTATGTGGTAACACGAATGGATAAGATACGAAATGAGTATATTAGAGGAAGTTTGAGAGTAGCCCCCGTAGTAGAGAAGGTAGAAGGAGAAGGCCTAATTTAAGTCCCTTTTTCTTTACCACCCTTTTCTTTTAAGGAGAGGTTGGGAAGGGGAAGTGGATTTGACGGTGGAGGAGATGCATAGGAAGGGGAAATATCGTCTTCATGTGCGTCTCCT